GGGCAGCTAGAGCTCAGGGGAAGAGGAGGAGAGACCTACGGAGTTTCATGAAGGCAGGAAAAGCCATGATGAGAGAAAGAAAGGCTCACTCCCACTCTTTCAGGCCCCAGCCAGCTGCTTCTAGTCTGGAGCTAGTGAGTACACGGAGCATGAGCTGTCAAAAGCTACAGCTGGGCCCTTTGGATGAAGTTGCTTGGATGTGGCTGGACCTTGGGTGGCTCGCAGGCCAGCAAGACCACTGACAGGGTTCCTCTGGACCCACATAGGAGCAAGGAGCCACAACAACTGAAAAAAGCCACTCAGAGGCCTCACATCACCAAAGAACCCTATGAAATCAAGAACCAGGAGCCCATTGAGCTCCCAAGCCAGGGAGCAGTGAGGGCTAGGGGCCTCAGCCATGCCCCCCCTGACATCTACAACCAGCCCAGTGACGACCGCTGCTGCAGGAAGTGCCCTGGGCTCCCGAGCCTGGGCAGTGGGGGATTGAGAGCTTCAGCCACCCCCCCACCACCTGCATCCAGCCCAGCAATGACTGAGCCACCACTGGAAGCACCCTTGTCTCCCCTGCAGGAATGGGGCGTTGCCATGGGCCTTAACCCCCTCCTTCTTCGTTCTCCCACCCTATCTCCTTCTCCCCTCTCCTCTCCCCCCACCCTTAAGTGCTCCACAACATCTTAGAATGTTAAAAAAAAAAAAAATCAACTTCAAAAAATTATCACAAAAATATAAAAAAATTGTTTATACAGAAAACAAAAAAAGAAAAAAAGGAAATTCATTTATAAAAAGTGAATTAGGGGAGGTATAGAGAATCCATATTTTAGGGAAAACTGCCAAAGCGTTATTTATTTTTAAAATTAGATGAGATTTTTGTGGTTTGTAAAGCTTCTCAAATACTTTTCATTGTAGTGAGAAGCAGTGTTTTCCAAATGCTGGTCTTTGAATTTTTCAGTGTTTTGCATTGAAATAAAAGATATTAGAACAGTGAAGTGAGTGAAGTTTTTATAATGCTACTATTTTTCATGGATTTTAAGATGTACATTTTCCCACGTTTTAATATTTCTGAAAGTTAGATGTGTTTTATGGTTAGTGCATCTTAAAATCATTGTCAGTTGTCACTGCCTGTGCATATGAGAGTTTGGTAGTTAATCCTACGGATATGACTGACTATACAACTTCAACCTATTGATGTTTCAGTCAGCATACCATTTAAAGACTGTATGTGAACAGCATACCATGCATGGATTGTCTTCTGAAGCCTTCTGTTAATTATGTCTTCTGGTGATACTTTTTGGTAAGATCTGGAAAGGGATGGTGTCAAGACTTGGACAGTATATGTCAGTGGCTTGGAACAGAGTTTCAGAGGCAATTGAGGAACACTTAAAAAAGTTGAATCACTAATTCTGTTAATAATACAGAGGATAATACTTTGGAAAACAAGGATTACTGATGACCCTGAGGTAAAAAAACAATTTAGTGATTAGAATGTGAGAATGAAGAAAATTTTAATACTTACATTTATTTTGCTTTTGTATTTTTTATAAACACAAGTATTATATGATAATTCATGTATAAATAAGCTTAAAAGAGCTTTTAAGCAATAAGTATAAAAGAATAATTCTAAGTGATAGAAACTATGTCTTTTGGGAGGGTTTTTTTTCTTTCTTAGTGCTACTTAAAGTAATGGTGCACTTTAACATTGATGTTATCTTGAACTGATGAAATGGAGTTAATTTATTCAGTTTCAGGGATTGAGATTATCTTAAATTTGTGCTCTTAATATTTTTTGATGTTAGGATATTTCTTTTATGAAATGATGGTGATAACAGATAAATGGTGATATGTTTTAAATGTCCTTCCTTGGTAAAAGACAAGCTTTTTGGTAACTGTTGAATTAAAAATTTTAAGATAAACTCTATTCTTTAATCACTGAATCACACCTGTTTTTTGTACTTTGACAATTTATAGATGGGCTGTCTGTTTTAAACTTGACTTGGTTATGTATATGGTCCTAAATGTATACAGAAGGAGTTCCAGATCAGTAGATGCTTAATCTCAATGGATATTAGTGAAATACCACTTTAAACAACAATAATAACAAAACCTGAGGAGTACTGTTTCATATCCATCAAATTGGCAAAAATTTAAAATTCTGACAGTATCAAATATTGGTAAGGATGTAGGGGAACAGGAACTTTAAACTGTTGCTGATGTTGGGGAAATAAAGCCAAAATCTCCTTCTTCCCCCAGAAAACATCTCTAAAAACGAAGAAGAGAAAGGAAAATTTTCTTACCGTCTAATTATTAAAGCAGAATGTTATGTGCTTCACAAGGGATCTGCTGAAAGATTGCAAAGACCAAACCCATATATATAGCCAAGCAGATGCAATCCATTACATACATGTCCTCATGATAATAAATAGTGCTCAAGTAAGAGGACTTGATAGCCCTATTAGTCACATATTAATTCACTTGTATGTTGTTAATTCACTTGTTAATTGGGGTGACTTTTAGTATTAGCTAATTGGCTTTATCCAAAGAAGAAGGACTCTTTATGACAGGAGGAAATTTTGCAAACTGGAGCTAGGTGGCTTGCCAAAGTTAGGCCCCTGTCCTCCCAAAGAAACTGTGAGATAGGGGGTAGCATCTCCTTTGACTATCACATTTTTAAGAGAAGGCTACTTGGTCCTTGAGAAAGGCAATCCTGGGATGCTGGCTTAGAGGCTTACTTAGTTTTTAAAAAGATTTACATACATCTCAAATGGGCAGAGAAAGAATCTATTAAGTTTTCTAAAGAGATGTTCTATGAAAAGGGGTTGAGGGAGTAAAGGTAGAATTAAGCATCCTATTTTAAATTTTTGTTAGCCTGAACACCGATGGGTAAATTGATCCAGCCACTTTAGTGGGCAATTTAGCAATGCTGCATTAGAGTTGAAGATGTATATACCCTATGATCCAGTATTTCTACTTCTGGATAAACCCCAGAGAAACACTTAACGTATGTTCATAAGATGCTTGTAGCATTGTGTATTAACAGTGAAGCATTGGAAACAACCAAAATATCTGTGAACAGGAGAGTGAATAGATACATTTTGGTATATTCATACAGTACAATACTATGCAGCATTGAAAGCGAATCACTCAGAACTAGGTGTATCTATTTGAATAATTTTAAAAACAATGTTAAATTACTAAAGCATGTTGCAGAAGGATATGTATAGTTATATAACATTTAAAAACATGCAGAACAAGATCATGTATTATTTATGGATACATATACAGTAAAAGTATAATGGAATGATAAACACCAAAATCAGAAAGTGGTTACCTCTAAGGAGAGAGGCATATAATGGGATCAGCAAAGTGTTCTTTTATTTCTTAATCTTAAGTAAATAAAGTAGAATGTTGAGATTTAATTTGTTTGGACAGTAAGTACATTGGTGTTTGTCGTATTATTATCTAGATAGTTTTGTAATGATTAAATATTTAATGATTAAAAGTTTCAAAAGGGAATGGGTGGTGAGGTAAGAAGGAGATAAGGACATATTTTCAAGGAAATTTGCTGTAAAGGGGGCCAGAGAGATGGGGTAGTAGTTGAAGAGAAATTTAGTGCTTGTATCATATATTTGCATGCTAATGGTAATGATCAAGTAAAAAGGGACAAGTTGGTGCAGGAGACTGTTAACGGTGGTGGGCGCAGAGTCCTTGAATAAGAAAAATGTAATGATCCAGTGCAGAAGTAGTGTGTTTGACTTTTGGTGGGAACAAGGACAATTTGTTGAGACGAGGGAAAGCACAGTAAGTGATGGGAACATGGAAGTAGTTCTCTTCTGAATTTAGGGTCACTAACATTTCCACATTTGTTTGGGACTGAGAAGTTTCTAGGATGCAGGATTTTTCAGTACTAAAACTGGGAAAGTCCTGAGCAAACCAGGATGATTGGTCACCCTACTTGTGATTGTTTTTCTTTGACAAAATGAAAAGCATGATTATCTCCTGGGAGTGAGAAGGAGATGAAGGAAGTGTTTGAGGCTCAAGGTGAAAGGAGAAGGGGATGAAGGAGGTTTTTGAGGCTCAAGGTGAAAGGTATTTGAGGCTCAAGGGGAAAGCTATGAGGTAGTTTTCTATCTTAAAGATGGGATAGCAAATTCTCTAGGTTAATGTGATGATTTCTGACCACTGCTAGGAGTTTGCTGAAATTTATGGTTATAATTTTAAAGTCCATGTAGGTGTTTCTCTTCAGTACTATTTAGCTATTCAGGTACAGGTAATGCGTTAAGTGGAAAGTTGGTTTTAAACTATGTTTTGACTATGATGGAGGGGGAGAGGAGAAGAGGAATGAAGCCGTAGGAGGGAATGATTATAGTAATGGATTGTCAAGTCTCACGCTGGGTAAGAAGTGAAGTGAGAGGATGAAGGACAGTGGAAAAAGTTATAGGGTCTGTTGGCATCAACAGATTTTGGGGAGTGAACTGGAAAAATAGGAAGTAAAGAGAGTGAGATGCTTGAAGTTGAAATTTTTGAGGTGGTGGTGTTATTGGTTATATGTTTGATCATGGGAGTGGAGAGCTGAAGTGGGATGGAAGAAAAGATCATTGGGTGTGGGAGCGATCACGATCATGGATGTAATTTCAGTGATTAGGTAAGGCAGGTTGTGGTGCTCTAAAACATATTCACTCAATTATTTTCTCTACACATACTTAGAGTTTTCTTCCTGTTTTATTTTGTTTAAATACCACCTCAAATTGTAAATCACGTTGTTCTGGAATGAAGATAGTTGTGAATAAATAAGTGGATAAAAGCAAATTTTGTTTAATCTGTACTCAGCCATATCATGTCCTGCTAGAGACCTTGTAGTTGGTAAGTTTCAAATATTAACATCCAAACTGGTGATCCTGCTGCCCATTAAGCTATTTTAGTCCTACATAGGTTCATTGAAGGCTTTGTGCCATGTATGGTTGTAGGCTGCTTTGCTGACTCCAATTTGCTTTGTCTTTTTATAGGACCGCAGCTGAATGCACAGCTAGAAGGTTGGCTTTCACAAGTACAGTCTACAAAAAGACCTGCTAGAGCCATTATTGCACCGTAAGTTTTAAGGGTCTTTACCTAAAATCTTTCATACGTTTATTATTAATAAAAAGCGAGTATCTATAGGTTGAACCAAAAATTAAAAACTAAATGCTATATTGAGCTGAAGAAATTATATTCCGTAATTCTCACAGTTCCTGTGGTTTTCACTTTAAGGCAAGGATAATGGAATTGGCTACTTTATTTCCTAAGATGCAGTAATTTCAAAATTTATTTTTGGTAATAAAACTGACTTTTTAAAGGAGAGTGTTGTTTATATTAGATAAACTTGATGATTTCAATAATAATTGCTATAAATGAATGGGTTCTGTTTTAAACATTAAAGAGATATGCTTTAATCCAGGTAATTTTCAACTTATAATGAAAAAGATATATTAAGCATAATATGGTACAACATGGAGTAGCAAACAGATTTTTGGGGAGGGCTAAAGTAAGGCAAATCATAACTAATGCCAAAATGTTTCATTATTTTAGTTGTACTAAGTTTCCATTTATATTGTCAGAGCTAGGGCTCAGACCCTCCAAACCCATTGTACAGACTGGGTCCCCAGACCCCTCACACGCAGGTCCGTGCTAGGTAATTGGGAAAGATTCCAGGAGCTGTTGGCAGATGACATGAGTTCAGTCCTTAGCTTCCTCAGTGGCAGCAGCTTACAGATCCAGTAGCTTACAGGTCCGGGAGTGGCAGTGGCCTTGCAGAGGGTCCCGGGGGCACTAACAGCAGCAGCCTCCAGCAGCAGTAGTAGCCTCCCCATTCCCCTCCCCCACCACAGGGAGGGGGCATCCCGGGGGTGGGAGGCGCGGTAGACCAGAGCCACTCATCCTTATACTTAAGTCCCTAATCCAGGACACCTGGGTGCACATGCGTACTTACACTAGAGGATAACCAAGGAACACCTGAGCGCATATGCCTATTTGTATCAAACGCTCAGCAAAATTCTGAACATCTGAGGGGCCCTGACCATTTTTCCTATATTTTCCCCAACAGCTAGATTTTTTTTTTTTTTTTTAAAAGATGACCGGTAAGGGGATCTTAACCCTTGACTTGGTGTTGTCAGCACCACGCTCAGCCAGTGAGCAACCGGCCATCCCTATATGGGATCCGAACCCGGGGCCTTGGTGTTACCAGCACCGCACTCTCCTGAGTGAGCCACGGGCCGGCCCTAGATTTTTTTTTTAATTGAGAAAGTCTGTGATTATTTTGTCTTTGAATGTTAGTATGGGATCCGAACCCGGGGCCTTGGTGTTACCAGCACCGCACTCTCCTGAGTGAGCCACGGCCGGCCCTAGATTTTTTTTTTAATTGAGAAAGTCTGTGATTATTTTGTCTTTGAATGTTAGAGTTAGTTTTTTAGAACTGCAAGCTAGTACACACACAGTAAATGTGTGTCTGTATATGTTGTGAGTTCAATTAATTTTGTTTTGGTTTTCAAGGCTAACTTTCAAAACATTACTTTAAGCACTCTGAGAAGAGTAAAAGTTGGAATTTGTGACATTTTTCTCATAGCGTCTTTTATGTAACTTTATTGAGGTAAGGTTGGTGCCCTGGTAAATAATAGTGATGATAATAATAGCAGCTACTTATTAAGCCATCAGTATGAGAATTAACTGAGTAAATACACATAAAGAGCCTTGATTAATGTTTGGCACATAAGTCATATTTTATTAATGTTAGGTATTTTATATGCCAAGCATTTTGTTAAGTACTTTGTGTGATCTAACTTGATCTTATTTAATAGATGAGGGAACCTGACTTCACCACTTATAAGCTGTGTGACATGCAAGTTATTTAATCTTTCATGCTTTCATTGCATTGATAATGATCTCTGCATTGGTAAAGATAGAACAATAATAGTACCTCTTTATAGTTTTTAAAAAAGTTATTAAATGAGCTAATCTTTATAAAACTTTTAGCAAAATTACTTGCTATTTATTTAGTCATTCACCAAATATGTACCAGGCTAAATGCCAGGTGCTCATCTTAGGGCTGCTTTAAAAAATTTTCTTTTTTAAAAATTTATTTTGTTAACTTTTTTGGTGGCTGGCTGGTCCAGGGACTCAAACACTTGACCTTGGTGCTATTAGCACCCTGCTGTAACCAAGAGAGCTAACTGGCCAGCCCTAGTGCTGCTTTTTGAATAAATCAAAACCTCTACCTTTATGGAACTTGCATCTTTGTACTTGGGAAAGACAGGCAGTAAACAATTAAATGATTATATTTTATGTCATGTGCTGATGGGTGCTAAGAGGGAAAATGAAGCAGATAAGAGGATTGAGAGTGACAGTATGGGTAGGGAGTTGCTATTTTATATAGGAAAGAAAGGAAAGGTCTCCCTGATAAGGTAATATTTGAGCCTGAATGATGTGAGAGAGAAAGCTATGCAGATACCCAGAGGAATGGGGTTTCAGGTTGAGGAACAACAAGCCCAAAGGCTCTGGGGCAGGAGTATGCTTAGTGTGTTTGTGGAAAAGCAAGGAGGCCAGTACAGCTGGAGTGGCACGTATAAGGAAGTGGTGGATGAGATAGGCAGCAGAGGGCCAGATTATGAAGAGGCTCTGTAAGGCTGTCACAAGGACTTAGTTTTTATTCTGAGTGATATGGCAAGTCATGACAAGTTTTGAGTGGTAGAGTGACATGATCTGACTTAGGTTTGAAAAGGATTACTTTTGCTGCTGTATGGACATTATATTGTTTGGGAACAGGGAGTCTAGTTTTGGAGGCTTATTACAATAGTGCAGAAAAGAGATGACATAGTGGCTTGGACTGGGGGCTACAGGTGGAGGTGATGAGAAGCATTGTATTCTGGATGTATTTTAAAGTTTGGACCAACAAGATAGAAGAGTCAAGGATGACTCTTAAGTTTTGGCCTATGATACTGGAAGGATACTGATAAACGGAAGACAAATGGAAGTGGAGAGTAGATTTTGAAGTGTTTATGTAGAATCTAGGCTTGATTTCAATCATGTTAATGTGAGGTATTTATTAAATATCCAAGTGGAGATTTCAGATAGGCAGCTGGATATATAAATCTGGAGTACAGGTGATCCCCGAGGTATGATGGTTTGACTTAACGGTTTTTCAATTCTAGGATGGGTTTATCACCTTGTAACGCCATTGTTATGTGAAGGAGTGTAGGTACAGGGAAGGGGAACAGGCTTGAGATAGAAATTTGGGCTTGATTTGTTTTAGACTTAAGTCTAAACAGGGTGTGGTTGCCTAGGGAATAAAATAAAGATAGACAGGAGAAGAATTTTAAGGACTAAGCCCTTGGGCAAGCCACCTTTTTTAAAGTTTGGAATGAAGATGAGCATTTGCAGAGGAGACAGTGAAGGGGAACTAGTGAGGAAGGAGGAAAACCAAGGATGAGTGGTATCTCCGGGAGGCCAAAGGATGAAAAATGGGTCAGGGAGGAGAAGGTGACTGTGTCAAATGCTGCAAATAGGTCAAATATAATGAGGACTGAGAATTGATAGTTGAATTTGGCAATGTGGAGATCACTGGTGACACTGAGAAGAAAAACTTCTGTGGAGTGGTGGGAATAAAAGCATTATTAGAGTGGGCTCAGGGAAGAATGAGAGGTGAGGGAAATGAAGACAGTGAGTATAGATAATTTTTTGAGGAATTTTGTTGTAAAACAAATAGAGCAATATCTGTATGGGAATGTATTGAGAGGATTTTTATTTCGGTTGGGAGATTTTAAAATGTTTGTAATTTTTTTTTTTTTTAAAAAGATGACCGGTAAGTGGATCTTAGCCCTTGACTTGGTGTTTTCAGAACCACGCTCTCCCAAGTGAGCCATGGGCCGGCCCTAAAATGTTTGTAATTTTGATGAAATGATTTAGTAGAGAAAGAAAAATTGACTCAGGGTTGAGAGGGGAAGTTTGCATAAGTTTGATTAGGTGAGAAACAATGGATTAATAATCATCTCTTTATAATAACTCATGAGATAGGTTCTATTTTCTTCCATTACTTTGCTAATATTTGACAATTATATGGTATGCCACCTTTCTACTTAAAACTTGTTTTAAATGTGGGAGCTGAGTTGAATCAACATATAATTAAGGCTAGCATTTATGAAAAAGTAGCCAAACTTGTTTCCTTCTTGTAATTATTTTTATCAGCACCACATTCTAACAAGCTGAGCTAACTGGCTAGCCTTTCTTTCTTTTTTTTTTTTTTGTCTTTTTTCGTGACCGGCAACGGATCGCAACCCTCAGTGTCGCTCCCGTACCGGACCGGGACCGGCCACGGGATCGCAACCCTCGGTGCTGCCCCAGCCCCTCGCTCAGCCAGTGAGCGGCCGGTCTGTATGTGGGATCCGAACCCTCGGCGAGAGCGCCACCGCGCTTCCCAAGCGGCGCACTGTAGCAGTGTGCCACCGGGCCGGCCCTGGCTAGCCTTTCTTGTAATTAGTTTTAAATTGAAATTATTGGCAATGATCCGGGAAATGAAATGTTTTAGCCTAAGATACAAATATATTGATTTGTAACATTTCCAAGTTGTCCCAGATTTAAAAATGGACATTTTAAAATAGTTTTGGCTTTTGTGTGTATGTTTCTGCTATATAATGACTTTGTAGTTATGTTTGTGCATAAATAGGCAATTTCTATTTTAACATATGAAAACTTTAAATATAGCTAACTTTTATCTTATTATATAGTTTCCAGAAGTAATTATTTTTCTTTCTAGAGTGACTATTTTTTTTTTTGAGGCAGAAAAGCAACAACAAATATTTCATCGTCATATAGCACAAAAGGATCTCTATAAGAACATGCTTATATAGATAGGAATTAGAAAACTTATTTTAAGGTTTCTACTTTTATTTCAAATCAAGTTTATCAAAAAACATACTTTAAATTTTATAAATTCTAGCTCTCTGGTACCAGCTTTTCTTAGATTTTACCTTAATAGACATAAATCATATCAGGGGGTCCTAATAAAACAAGTGCAGAACCTAGATAGAGTTGTAACCAGTTAGGCTGTGTGAGAATGGCAT